AAGAGTTATAAATTCGAGATCTGCCATGATGCAGATCTGTGGTTTTTTTTGTTTGTTTGTTTGTTTGTTTTTTTAAGATTTATTTATTTGTCTGAAAGGCAGATATACAGAGAGGAGGAGAGACAGAGAGGAAGATCTTCCATCCAATGTTTCATTCCCCAAGCAGCTACAATGGCTAGAGCTGAGCCAATCGGGAGCCAGGAACTTCTTCCAGGTCTCCCACACTAGTGCAGGGTCCCAAAGCTTTGGGCCATCCTCGACTGCTTTCCCAGACCAGGAGCTGCTTTCCCAGGCAGGGAGCTGGATGGCAAGTGGGGGCAGCTGTGACAAGAACCGGCACTCATATGGGATCCTGGTGTTTGCAAAGCAAGGATTTAGCCACTGAGTCCTAGTGCTGAGCCCTGGGACATCTTCCTGCTTTCAGTTTTTAGCAGGGAGCTGGATTGGATGTGGAGCAAACTGGCATCCCTATGGGATCATGGCAGGTACTGACCTCCATGTCTCTTGTTAATGTGCCTGGAAAAGTAGCAGAAGATGATCCAAGTCCTTGGGCTCCTGCACCGGTGTGGGAGTCCCAGAAGGAGCTACAGGCTCCTGATTTCCAAGGGGCCAAGCTCCTACCTTTAGAACATTTGGGGAGTGAGGCCATGAATTGAAGATCTCTCTCTCTCTGTCTCTCTTCCTCTTTCTCTGTATCTGCCTTCCAATTAAAATAAACAAAGAAGTTAAAAATAAATAAATACTTAAATAGAGCAGCCAGGTCTCAAAGAGGTACCCACATATGCTGGCACTGCAGGTGGTGGCTTTATATGGTATACTACAGTGCTGGTCGCCATATTATTATTTTTTTAAGTTGTTTTTCGGGCCGAATGTGGTAGCCTAGTGGCTAGAGTCCTCACTTTGAACGTGCCAGGATCGCATTTTGGCACCAGTTTTAATCCGAGCAGCTCCATTTCCCTTCCAGCTCCCTGCCTGTGGCCTGGGAAAGCAGTCGAGGACAGCCCAAAGCCTTGGGACCCTGCACCCGCGTGGGAGAGCTGGAAGAGAAGATCTGGGCTCCTGGCTTCGGATTGAAGCAGCTCCGGCCATTGAGGTCACTTGGAGGATGAATCATTAGACAGAAGATCTTTCTGTCTCTCCTTCTCTCTATATATCTGACTTTGCAATAAAAAATAAATAAGTTTTTAAGAAAAATTATTTTTTTGGTCCCAGCACCAGGCCCTCAGCTGTTCCATGTCCAGTCCAGCTTCCTGCTAATGCCTCTGAAAAGCCACAGAATATGACCCAAGTGCTTGGGCTCTACACCCACGTGGGTAACCAGCAGAAACTCGGCTCCTGGATCCCACCTGTCCCAGCCCCTGCAATTTTGGCCGTATGGGGAAGTTTGCTCTTTCTCTCTCTGTAACTCTGCCTTTCTTTCTTTGTTTGTTTTTTTTTTTAAGATTTATTTATTTTTATTACAAAGTCAGATATACAGACAGGAGGAGAGACAGAGAGGAAGATCTTCTGGCCGATGATTCACTCCCCAGGTGACTACAACAGCCATTGATGCGCCGATTCGAAGCCAGAAGCCACGAGTTTTCTCCAGGTCTCCCACGCGGGTGCAGGGTCCCGAGGCTTTGGGCCGTCCTCGACTGCCTTCCTAGGCCACAAGCAGGGAGCTGGATGGGAAGTGAAACTGCCGGGACTAGAACCAGCGCCCATATGGCATCCATGTGAGTTCAAGGCGAGGACTTTATCGGCTAGGCCACAATGCCAGGCCCAACTCTGCCTTTCAAATACAGATCAATGAATCAGTCGTTTAAAATATCAGTATGAGAGGCCTGGCGCAGTAGCCTGGTGGCTAAAGGTCTTGCCTTGCATGTGCCGGGCTCATGCTGTGTATGAGAACCGAAAGAAGCCCTGGGGCCCTGGCTTCAGATCGGCTGAGCTCCAGTCATTGCTGCCACTTGGAGAGTGAATCAACGGATGGAATGTCTTGCTCTCTTTTGTCTCTCCTTCTCTCTGTATGTCTGACTTTCCAATAACAAATATGTATACATATATATATATATTTTTTAAAGATTTATTTATTTTTGTTGGAAAGGTGTATATACACAGAGGAAGAGAAACGGGAAGATCTTCCTTCCAATGGTTCACTCCCCAAGTAACCGCAACAGCTGGAGCTGAGCCAATCCAAAGCCAGGAGCCAGGAACTCTTCCCGGTCTCCCATGCGGGTGCAGGGTCCCAAGGCTTTGGGCCATCCTCAACTGCTTTCCCAGGCCACAAGCAGGGAGCTGGATGGGAAGCGGGGCTGCCAGGATTAGAACCGCCACCCATATTGGATCCTGGTGCATGCAATGCGAGGACTCTAACCACGGTGCTATCATGCTGGGCCCAAAATAAATAAATCAATAATTATTTTTTTTAAAAAACGAACCTTATAGAAAATGTGGATTATGAAAAACTATGCAAGATTTCTTTAAAGTTTATTCATTTAAAATTTTTTTCCTAAAAGGCAGAATAACAGAGTGGAGCAAGCAGAGTCCCTGGTTTATTCCCAGAATGACTGCAGCAGCCACAAGTTGAAGTCAGGGGTCTGGAATTCAACAGGGATCTTCACATTGATGGCATGGGCTTAAGGACATGGACCATCAGCCCTTGCTTTGCCAGGCACATGAGAAGGAAGCTGGATTAGAAGGAGAGCAGGCAGGATTCAAACTGGCACTCCAATGTGGAATGCTGGCATTGCGATCAGCAGCTTAACCTGTTGCATCATACAACCGGCCTCAACGCATAGAAGAGTGAGCCAGAGGATCTTCTGTCTACTAGTTCGTTCTTTAAATGGCTGCTGGGCTGTCAGTCCAAAGCAAGGAACCAGGAACTTCATCCACATCTCCCACATGGATGGAAGGGGCCCAAACGCTTGAGCCTTCATCTGCTACTTTCCCAGGTGCATCAGTAGGTACCTGGATTGAAAGTAGAGCAGTGAGGGGCTGGTAACCTAGAGGGTTAAGCCACTGCCTGTAATGACAGCATTCCATGCTTCTGATGCAGCTCCCTGCTAATGCATCTGGAAAAGCAGGAAAGGATGGCGCAAGAGCTTGAACCCTTGCATCCAGGTGGTTGACCTGGAAGAAACTCTTGGCTCCTGGCTTTTGCCCTGACCCAGCTCTTGTCATTGCAGCCATTGAGGGTGTATACTGGCTTATGGAAGCACTCTCTCTTGTGCTCGCTCTCCACAAAACAAAGGAAACAGTAAATTCAAAAAAACAAAAGCAGCAGGACTGGAACCTGCACTCATGGGATACCAGTGTCACAGGCAGCAGCTCAGCCCACTGCCCACAACCCTGGGCGCCTCGCGTTTGTCTTTCACTTCCATTTTTCCACACTTTCATCGAAATATCTCAGACAACAGCAGAGTTCACAAGGAAGAGAATGGAGTTATGGGGGAAGCAGATCAGACTTTGGGTTTCTTACAGAGGAACATGTCTGAAGTTTTAAGATCTTTTTGGCATTCAAGATCTGAGTGCCCTAACACCAGCCTAGTGTTGGTGAGTCTGCATCCCGCTGAGCACGCTGTGCAGCTGCATCTCCCGGGCCTTCTGCAGCGTAGCTGTGGAGTGTACAACTGTTGAGTGTTTGCATTTGTCAACTCCTGATCCTCAGTTTCCTATTAAATTAAAGGTTGTAATCATAATCCCCACTTTACAGTATTGGGGGATCACTAAGCCAAATACTGGATTAGAAGTGGGTGTAATGAGGGCCGAGCATGTGTTGGGCAGGGCTGGAGCGGGCCACAGCACCCATTAGTTTGCTGAGGGTAGAGGGCAGAATGAATTCATCAACTACCCCAGTGAAGCTTCACAGCGAATTTCTGCGCCACTGAAGACTCAGAGGCGGACTATGATAGCCAATTGACCTCGGAAAGATTTCCTCATCCTTGGAGCAGCAATATCCAGCAGCATCTCAGAACTATCAAAAACACATGAACAGAACCCTCAGAAGAGGCCTCACAATGGGGACCTCGAGATGACACTGGGTGGCAGTTCCCCAATCCTCCGGGTAATGTGGCAGTTGGAAAGCTGGGCGTGGTTTCTTCTCCTTATCCCCGCCCCCTCCATACACAGGAAGAAAAAAATGTGTAAACAAGGGTCACTATCCCCTGATCCTCGGTCTCACCCTGATCAACTGTGTAAACATCATCACTAATAAAATTAAAAAAAAAAAAATGGATGTAAGCGGAGGAGTAGTGCTCAGGGCAGTTAGGAGTTAATTGGATTGGCAAGGGAAATGTCCCCCTTAAGCAGTCTGGTGGCCCAAGTTTCCTGGGGTCCTGTCTTTTCTATTTCCCTGTGGCTTCCTTGCACAGCCTGATTTTGGAGATAAAAGATTTCCTCCCTTTGTTTACATGGCTGATCTTACAGGACACAACAACAGCCTTTAGGGTTATTTTTCTGGAGTGAGGGAGGGGTGGGCCCTCGGGTTTAGGGTGTCGGTTCAGGCCCTTCACCTCCCCCTGTTCACGGAGGTGGGATATCTTCTCAATCTTCTGGTAGACTAAGACCTGCATAAATTTTGAAGTGGTCTCCTAATTGTGGCTCTAGGCTGCAGCCTGCAACTTGCAGGTCAAACACTCAGAAGGCTGGCTGCTGCCACAGTGTTTTCAAGAACCTAAGCCCTCAGCAGAACAATGCAGGCATCACAGGGGATATGCCGAGGGCTGCAGAGAGACAGAGAGGAAGATCTTCCATCCGATGATTCACTGCCCATGTGGCCACAGTGGCCAGTGCTGCGCCAATCCGAAGCCAGGAGCCAGAACTTCTTGCCAGATCTCCCACATGGGTACAGGGTCTCAGTGCTCTGGGTCATCCTTGACTGCTTTCCCAGGCCACAAGCAGGGAGCTGGATGGGAAGTGGAGCTGCCAGGATTAGAACCGGTGCGCATATGAGGACGTTAACCACTACACCATTGCGCCGGGCCTGATTGGCCCTTTTAACTGATTTCTCCCATTTCCAGGTGCCTTGAAGAAGAGTCTCTCCGCGGAGCAGGTACTGGCCGATTTCCTGGCTCTGGGTAGGTTCCTGGCCCAGGTTGCTGCAGGAGAGGGCCTTTTCGACTTTTTATCCTATTAGCGAACCCTTCTGTTCTCTTGCAGGTCTCAGCGAGGAGAAAGCCACTTACTTTTCTGAAAAGGTATTAATTCTTAATCACAATTAAGATTCTTTTTATTGGGAAAAATGCTGATTAAGACAGAATTCAATGTGTCATTTCATGTGACTTTACATAAATATTAGAGTGCTTTAACCATCCGCACCATGTCATACATGTCCAGTTCTTCTCTGATTTGACTGAATTTAAATGCCATACGGTTTTTGTTCCAATGTGCGTTAAGCTTTGGGAGGAAGGGAAGCGCTGGTGTGCATTAGATGTCTCCTCTGTACTCCACTTCCCTGGTCGTCCGCGCTACAGCCCGGCCCTGGGCCCCGCATTCTTCCCGCTGTCTGTGTAAACACTCCTCGGTGCTGTGCTGGGAGCAGTATCCGGAGGGGCAGCGTTTTCCTGTGCTTGTGACTTCGGTTTTGGGCTTTTGTTCCAGTGGAAGCAGAACGCCCCCACCCTTGCTCGCCGGGCCGTAGGTCAGACTCTGACGATTAACCAGCTTGTGGACATGGAGTGGAAGTTTGGAGGTAAGCCATTAGAGCCGGTCCCAGGTGCTCGGGGTGAGGAGAGGTTGGGGGTCAGAGGCTTTGGGGCAGCCTCAGTCCTCTCCTCCGCCAGGGCAGGGCAGCAGCTGCCTTCTGACTTGATGTCCAAGTTCAGCAGCTTTTTCCCTCACTGGCTCTGCGGGCTCACTCCCTGAAGAGCACACATTGTGTCCTTCTGCCGGCCCACCTGTAAGATCGGGGTCTTCAGGCTGAGCCCGCAGTCACTCACTGCTTATTTTTCTCTTCTGTGCCACAGTGACATCTGGAAACAGCGAACTGGAGAAAGTGGGAAGCATCTTCTTACAAGTAAGTCTTCTCCTGACTTAACACGGATAGATGTTTGGACTTGGTTAAAATTTTATGAAATCTATATTGAGTTTCTTTAAACAGCCATTCTATGCATGTGTTGATCTCAGTGTCACCACCTGGGGACTTTGTCGCTGATATGCCTGCTGTCAGATAAATAGTTCCTAACAATGTGTGTAACAGTCTGCCCCTTTATTCTCATGACCTGCTGGGACTCTTGATGGGGAACAATCCAGACTGCTTCTGTATCGCTTGCAAACAAGAAGCTAGATGCTTCTGTGTTTAATTAGGTGAAAAGGTTTTGAGAATTTCTTTGCCCAGTTGTCATCATTTTAATTTGAATTTTTTCTTCCTCCTACTCAGTTAAAGTTGGTGGTTAAGAAAGGCAATCAAACTGAAAATTTGTATATAGGTGAGTCTGAATTCCCACATGAGCCTTTCATATTTAGCATGTTCTCTTCAATCAGTGGCCTCATGAAGCCCAGCTACAAGTTATCTCTTCCAGAAGACAAATACTAAGTGCCCTGTGGGGTAGCCATTCCACTGCTTTTGCATGCACTGGGGATGGTACAGGGCAGGGCTGGTAAGAAGCCTTTCGCAGGTTGGAGATCCTATAGCTCGAGAGTGTTTTGGACAAAGGGAAACGTGGGGAAGCCGTGGCTGGCCTTGGCAGCTGAAGGACACGAAGCCATGGACCGATGCCTGTTGGCCCCTTTGCGCAGTGGGGCTGTGCCTGGGAAGTGGAGCTGAGGGCTCCTGTGCTCGAGGCCCTAGCCCTTTAGGATGATCAGTTACCCATGACAAACAAAAGTGAAAGCCTCTGGGTGGAAATTAATTTCCATGGATGATACTGTGGAGTTGGAAACACTTACCTGAAGCTGATTTTCTTTTTTTTTCTCTCCAGAATTAACCTTGCCTCAGTTCTACAGCTTCCTGCATGAAATGGAGCGAGTCAGAGCCAGCATGGAGTGTCTCAGCTGATTTCTTGTCCCCTCTATGTCTCCGTGGCCCCTCATCCCTTACTGGGTGACCGCTCCCAGAGGCACCTCCCGCACAGGCCTACGGGTGCTCCATTTCCCCCTGCTGACTCATGGAGAGTCCAGGTGCAAAAAGCTTTCTGGAAAACCAGACTACTAAGTCCTGAAAGGGCCCTCCCCGCACAGTTTACCCGTTACATATATTGTTAGGGAGCAGCCACTTCCCGTGTGCCAGGACACAGCTCCATGTCCCCATGGGCTGTCTTATCCAGGTGCAGGGAAGCCAGTCCACTGCCCCTTGCTCCTCAAAGTCCACAGAAAACTAATGGTACCATCTCTCATGCTAACACACCAATCCCTCGACCCTACCAAGAGCCACACCCCTTCCTGGCTGAGGAGGAGGTGGTCTGTATGAGTGACAATGTGTGTGCAGTGCTCATGGCTGCTGCCTGTTGATCAGTGGGGCCTTGCCCTCGGTTTTTAACGCATCAGTCACCTGTGTACAGATGCATGATTGGTATCTGAAAAGAACCGAGGCCAAGCCTTGCCCCCACTTTCGGTTTTGTTCTGAAGTGTTACAATAGGACAGGATTTTTGAGGCCATCTGAGCCTATTTTGGTTCAAGCCGACCACGTCTGTTGGTTAGACAATGAATAAAAAAGGTGGCGAAGGTCTTCAGCCGCTTGTCCTTTGGCTTGATTTGAAGTCATCTGCTTAGCCGAGAGCTAGTGGTTCCATCTTCCCAAGTCTCTGCCTGGCTTTGGTAAAAGCCCGGGATGTTGGGCAACACCAGCCATGGCGGTCCAGAGTGGAGTCCATGACAGCATGGAGGGGGGCCAGGTTAAAGCATCACAAGACTAGTGCTTTGTACCCTCCTCTTCCTCACCTCCTCTCCCACCAACCAGGCCTCGGACACTTCTATTGAGTTTTGAATGACTAATGCATGCCTGGGACTCAGCAGATACAGTGGAAAGTTATTCCATTTCCTGCCCCCACCGCCTTTCCCTGGTTCTCTTCCCCAGAGGCAAACGGAATTCATTCTGTGTTCATGAAGACATTTGCTGCATTTGTAAACACAGATAGGTTCAGTTTGACTTTCCTTCCCACACAAAGGATAGCATGTCCTACCATCCTGTGCCCTGCCTTCTTCCCCTTACCTCGGAAGCCACTCTATCTCAGAACATTTGAAAGCACCGTTCTCTTTACTAGTTTCTTATTGTTGTTCTTGTTGCTTTTTAAAATATATTCATTTATCTGAATGGTTGACAAAGAAAGTCTTCAGTGACTACAAAAGACATGGCTGGGGGCCCAGCGTGTTAGCCTAGTGGCTAAAGGCCTCACTTTGCACTCCTTGGGATCCCAAATGTGCGCCGGTTCTAATCCCAGCAGCCTCACTTTCCATCCAGCTCCCTGCTTGTGGCCTGGGAGAGCAGTCAAGGACAGCCCAACCTTGGGACTCTGCACCTGCATGGTAGACCTGGAGGAAAATCCAGGCCTGGCTTCAGATCGGCGCAGCTCCGGCCATTGAGGCCACTTGGGGAGTGAATCATCAGACAGAAGATCTTTATCTATGTCTCTCTTCCTCTCTGTAAATCTGCCTTTCCAATAAAAATAAATCTTTAAAAAAAAGACTCATTTATTTTTATTGAAAAGACAGATTTATAGAGAGAGAGATCCCAAAATGACCACCATGGTCAGAGCCAAGGTTGTCTGGAGCCTTTTCTAGGTCTCATGAGGGTGCAGGGGATACAGGCCTGAGCCATCTTCAGCTGCTTTCCCAGGCCACGAGCAGGGAGGGAACTAGATGGGAAATGGAGCAGCTGGGACACAACCCAATACCCATATAGAAGGGTTAACTGCCTACACCACGATGCTAGCCCCCCTTCTCTCTATTAAGAGATGTATTTACTTATTTAATTGAAAGGCAAAGTTCCAGACAGAGAAAGAAATCTTTTGTTTGCTGGTGCACTTCCAAAATGGCTGTGACAGCCAAGCCTGGGCCAGGCTGAAGCAGGGAGCGTAGACTCCATATAGTCTCACATGGTCACTGGGGGCCCAGGCACTCACGTGAGAGACCTGAAAGAAGCTCCTGGCTCCTGGCTTCAGATCAGCCCAGCTCTAGCCATTGTGGCCACCTGGGGAGTGAACCAGTTAATGCAAGATCTTTCTCAATATCTCTCCTCTCTGTAATTTTGATCTGCCTTTCCAATAAAAACAAATAAATCTTTAAAAATTTTTAAAAAGAAAATGTGGCCCCAAGCCCACAGCATCATCATCAACTGGGATCCCATTAGCCATACAAATTCTTGGGCCCCACTCTAGCCTGATAGAGAAAGTGGGGCCCCAGGGGCCTGTTTGATATTATTATTGATGATGATGTTTACATAGTTGATCAGCATGGAAAGGATCTAGGGTTAGGGAAAACTGGGTGTGATCATTTCCAAAATTTCTGTTTCTGGGGAAAGGTAGGGGGATAAGGAGAGAAGCCATCTCCAGCCCCCTGACTACCCCAATACCCCAGGATAGGGAATGGCCACCCAGTATCAACCCAGGGACCCAATATGGTACACACTCTGAGGGTTCTGCCCAAGTGTTTGGATAGTTCTGAAATGCTGTTGATTTCACCGATCCAAGCATGAGGAAACCCTCCCAATGTCTACTGGCTGACATAGTCAACCTTAGAGTCTCCATTCACTCAGGTTTTTGCTGTCACCGTTTGGCTGTGGTAGTTGTCTAATTTGTTCTGTTCTCCTTCCTCTACTATGGCACCAGATGTCCTCTGCAGGCCTCAATGGGCTGCCATATTCTCCATGGGCATCAGGGCCTGACGTCCACTGCTCTGTCTTACACTGAGGAGGACCTGTTCTCGGAGGCAGGCCCAAGGAGACCTGATCCCCACCCCAGGGGCCTGTTCTAACACTCTCTTAGAAGATGATTCTGATGCTATACTTAAGTCTGAGAACCACCAGGCTTACCACGGCCCACCTGTGAGAGACCCTCAGCTATATCATTGGTAAACATAGTGATCAGGATTCTCCTGCCAACAGACATCTTTGGGTGGAGTGTTGAGTGCCGAAATCAAAGTTCCAGCCTCCCACGGCTCTCCTGAGTCACAGTCACACTTCTGGGACAAGGGAGCACTTCAGCTTTTTCAGCCTACTACAAGGAGCTTGAGCTGGTGTCAGACAATAGAAGACAGAGCTCCCCCTCGCAGGCTGGCAGGTGCAGTGCTTAGAGCTGCTCCCTGTGTGTCTGGCAGCCCTGGTTTCAGTTCATCTGTGACCTTGTTCCTGTGGGCACTCTTACACTATTCATCCATCCTTACAGGCTTCTGATGCAGAAGTAATGATTGTTGTGACTGCAGACAAGGGATGGTGCCGGGGTCGTGGGTGTGCAGTGAGTCAGGGGGCCTGACCTGTGATCTTCACAGAAGCCTTCAGTCTTACATGGAGAGGCTGGAAGGGATGGAGGAAGAGGCATTACCACACCCTGGGAGGGAGTTCCTTAGTGCTGGAAGTGTGGGGAGCTGGGTCACAGGGTACTATCTGCTTTGCCTTGCAGGTTCAGGGGCCAGGAGTCTCCAGATCAAAGGGCGAAGACACTGGCCAGCATGCGGTGAGATCAGGAAGCTGCTTGGGGCCTCTTTGGAGAGACCAGTTTACCTACTGTTGGCTAAATAAAGGCTTAGCGAGGCTTAGAGCGAAAGGCGGTTTTCAAATCAAAGGGCTCTTACAAAACAGCTGGGTGATGAGTTAAGTACAAACGAATCAGAAACAGATGGATTCAATTTCCTAGAAAATACCCCTGGGCTTCCCCAGAAGAGGGAAAGTGCTCCGCCAAAGGCATTGTGGGTTTTTGTTGATCCTAAAATATGCTCGATGAGCTTGCCTGAAAGGGAAGCTGAGAAGTTGGGAATATATCAGGCTCCATGTAGTTAGAGACCCCAGGCTGAGGTCCGGCCAGTGCTGCAGTGCCACTGGCTACGGCCTGCCCTGAGTCTGGAGGCCCAGAGTCTGGTTAGTTTCATCTGAACTGCCGATTCCCTGAGCGTGGAAAAGCAGAGATTGGGCAGGAGGCTTTCCAAGGCCTTCTTGGCACCAGGTGTCCTGAGCAATTGGCGCACATGGGCTTGCTTCCCTGCTTCCAGCCACCTGGAGCTGGAAGCATGAGGACACTGAGGCTCAAGAGTGAGGCTTAGGGTGAGGGCGCAACAAGGCCCACAGGTGGTGTGCGTGCAGCCCAGCATGCTCTGCCTGGCGAGGCAGCTTTGTGACTCCTAGTCTACTCCAGAGCACTGTCCTGTAGTGCCTCCCCTGAACTCTCAGCCTCCACAAAAACCTTTTCAACTTGATGGACACAAGTTTCAGAAGGATACAGCCTGACCCTGCATTCACTCAATTCCCAACCCTGGACGTGCCCCGAATATCAGAGGCTGGATCTGCTGAGCCTCACTCAGCATGGACATGGGCCCTAACTCCAACACAGTGATGGACGCCCCTGGAAAGGAGCCAGCGGGGTACAACCAGGAATCTGTGACGGCCACCAGGGTCAGATGCAAGGGAAATCGTGCACCAGGAGTGAGGCAGACAGGCAAGGTAAGGGACAGCGTCGCTCAGGGGGCCAGGTTTGGCCTGGCAGGGAGGTGAAAAGGAGCGGGCACAGAGGCCCCAGGTGAGTGTTGGGCGAGAGGGGAGGAGGCCAGGAAGGCAGGCAGGTCACCGTGTGGCCCTCAGGTGGTAAAAGGAGTTTTGGGAACTAGGCAGCAGGAGAGGGGCAGGAGCTCCTGACCCCTGCCTCGGCCGTGCCCCTGCTCGCTGCCTCCCAGCCAGGGAGGAAGAAGCCACATTCAGTACTGGCCTGGTGTTCCCTGATAGGGCTGCTGAGGGTGGCTGTGTGGTGCTGACCCTAAACATGTAATCCAGGCTGGCAGCCCTGGGGCAGCTTCCAGGCCAAAGATCTTCTCGTTTGCATAATGGTATAAGAATTGTTTGACAAAAGCCACTGTTGAGTGCCCAGCCAGGGGGGCCTGGCATTGAGGTGTATAGAGAGGTCCCTACAAGGGGAGGACCTGGCATCCCTGACCTGGGCCAGCAGGTCTCAGTCTTTGGTGAGCATCAAAACTGCCCGGCCTCCAGCTGTGAGGGGAGTGACGCCTGGTCAGGGACCACGTCCCGTCCTGGTGCTTGACACATGCTCCTTAGTGACTGATCCATGCGTGCAACCTTCTAATGTGATGAGTGTTGGAGGGCTTCTGCCACTCTTGCTTTTCTTTTTAAATTTTATTTAAAAGGCACAATCACAGGGCCCTGAGTGGTAGCCTAGTGGCTAAAGTTCTCACCTTGCACATGCTGGGACCCAAGTCAAGTTTGGCAATGGCAGCTTCCATTGTACTGCAGGAACCACCACACCATGTGGCTACGGCCAGCCAGGAGATTTTTAGTTTGCGTTGGTACACAGTAGTCACCCAGGTAACTAAGGTGGTACCTGGCGTACAAAGGTGTTACAAAGCATCCAATCAATTTAAATTCAGACCACACCTAAGCCAATCAGCTAACAAGTGCATTTGCAGAAGCAGATAGCTGCAATTAGCCATGCTCAAAACTTAGCCAAGGGTCCAAGATGGAGTCACATGCCTGCTGTAACGGGGTAGCACCATCCAGTTGTACCTTTTCACAGCTTCATGCTTTGTGCTCCTCTGAGCCTGAACATCAAATGAGAATGAACACAGGAGGCAGGCAGGCTTGCATGCCAACAGAAGGGATTCTGATCATGTGTGGTGAGAACTTGGTCATCTGTTTAACAAATGTTCTCTGAGTTCTGCTTGGCACCTGGCATTATTGATCCTGGGGACACCATGGCGAGCAAAGCCAATGTCATGGACCTGCGGTCTGTGGGGGTGGGGTGAGTGGACATTGGTAGACGGGGAAGGAAGTGCACACTGAGCCTTAATGCGAATGCGGATGGGCACTGTCTTCGCACAGGTAGTGCGTGGTGTGTGCACTTGTGCTGAGAGCAGGTGGTGCTTGTGTGGTAGGTCTGAGAAGCCTGACATGGAGTGGATGGGAAGCCAGGGAGGTGGCATGTGCAGAGGCCCTGCAGTGCCAATTACTTTGTTGTGTTTGTAACCCAAGGCCAGTGTGGATGAGGAAAAACAGAAGAGCCTAAAATGAGAACATGCCAGCCAGCATCCCCATATGGGTGCCAATTCAAGTCCCAACTGTTCCACTTCCAATCCAGCTCCTTGCTAATGTGTCTGGAA